CTGCCCCAAGGATAATCTTCAGATCCTGGAAACATTATCTCTTTCCTAATTAAAATGTACACCCGTTTTTGTCTCCTGATTGTACCTGTCAGAGTGCTACCCAAAGTGCTGTGTATGTGTTCTGAGAGTTCCGCAGAGCAAATATACGCACATTCACCAGTATGTTTGAAGGAAACCGGAAATCCAATTGAGCCTGCACTGAGAGATGTCTATTTTTTGGACAGAATTTAGCAGTGTAAAGTGTAAAATCAATTTATGGGATTTTGGTGCTTTGCTACCTCACGGCCACGTATACATGTTATCTGGGGATTAAGGAATTTCAAGAGGTGAAATTGTCAGCACCCCAGATGGAGTCAGACGAGCAGACGGAAATCTACTTGGAGTTAGGTTTAACGTCCTATGAGGAGGAGCGAATCTGTAGAGAGGTACACTGAGAGGCTGTAAATTGAGGTAGAGGGTAGAGGAAATTGAGATGACAAACATTTGCGCAAACTGACGAAGAGGCATGTTAGTGATAGTCTACTTGAACGCTTAATTGGACGTGCTCATGTCAGTCTCCAAGAATCTAGTGTCAGGCAACATAACCAAATTGGATTCTTCCAATCCCTTTGTAAATAACATGCCTAACATCTGAAAAAGTACAAACAAGCAAAAGAGAAGAATACATTTAATATTTTTCGCTCAAACAAAAAGTTCAAAACAGATTATGAAAGGCGAAACGCGCGACTTCTGTAACTCTCTAGTTTGTTGAGAACCGGTGTCGGTCCACAGCTAGAGAGAGTCACCATGAACTTGATGCTGAATTTTAAAAGTTGCTTTTGATTCTATTTCCAGCGAGTGCTTCTACGAGTCTTCTGGTTCTGCAGGTGTACTGGAAGTCGAATAGGACAGTCTTTGAACTTGTCTGAAGAGACGGATATCGCGACGTTTTCCTAGGGAAATACTTGTCCCTACCCACTTCGAACGTATAAATACTCTCCGTCCCTAAAAAGAAGTGCATATAGAGCCGTTGTTTATGAACAATGACAGTTTAATCAGAACGCATCGCCATATCAGAAGTACCGTACGATGAACGTTTCAAGGTGGTGTTCTAAGTCAGCGCAAACAATGAAGTCTCCTCGTTCCGAAGGTAAAAGATGGGCTACGTATTGTGACCTCGAGCTATTTACAATGGATTGTAGGGTTGGATGCGCACATGTGGGCAGAGCAGAAAGACAGTCAGCTCTATATGCACCGGACTGTTTTCCATGCTATCTGTTAGAGCTGCTGACAAACAAACTAATACCTCTATAAAAAATGTTTTTTTAGGGAATTAAATTCCACGGGGACGTTGGGTGGTTTCCGGAGCGTCAGCCGCCAGGAAAGTTCCGTGTTCTTCTTAACCATGTATTGCGGCAATCAGGTAACTCAGATTGCCGGATAGAAATCACGCTCAGTCTACGATCATTAATGTCCCTGAGGTGGTTATGCTCTGTACGCTGTACTCCATGTTTCACGCATGTGTGATATGTTGAACTTGTGAACCCTAATTTTCACAATACCTACCAGGAGAAATTCAAATGTGATCGGATGTGAAAATAGCTAGTTTCAATGATGTAATCCTCATTTTTTTAAACCCGAATTCGAATCAGCAGGTCAACACAGATTCGGATTTGAAACATTGCTTTGCTGGTTCTAGCAATCTCAACTTCTCTCTGCGAATTTTACTGATACTATCTAATCACAATGGTGAGCCTAGGGGGGTGATCCGTAAAAAATTCTCGGCTGCCGTTTGAAATCGACTGATTTACTCCCTCCATGTGTACTTAGGAAATGCATCGTGTAGCAACACTGAATCTTTCCATTTTCGAATGCACAGTAAAACTGGTTGAAAGTGCACACCCAAGTATTTTGGAAGTGACTCGAGTTAGCTGTGAGCTTCGTGTCCATGTGCGAGAGAGCCAATGCTTCATAACCAGAGACATAGCATCTCCATCCAGCGCATCTGCCCATATCTCCAGACAAGTCAAGATTGTAGTTACTATGGAAAAGTGTTTATTTGAATTTCACCATAGTTTGCCGAAGGGTTACTCAGGTTTTATCGTGTTTGAGGTTTATCAGCTGGCTGTATTTTTCATCAGTATTCGCCGTAGCAACCGATAATTTAGCAACGTCATTCGCAGTTGCCTATGTTGACTCTTCATACGATAGTAATCAAAACAATCGTCTACTAACTTAGCCATAATCTCGGTACTTAATGTATTTCTATCAAAGTTCGGGCGTTTCCTTTTTCGTTAAGTCATGATGCTAGCCACAAAAACAGTTTTTATCAATGAGCCAATTTTTATCATCTCAAAATGCTGTTTCTGACGAAAGACTATTGCTTAGATAAAATTGACGTTACGAATTGTAAAAATATTGCAAAATTTCTCTGTTCATATGTTCCAATAGCAAAGGCATTCTACGGTTTATTAATAGAAGCAAAAGAAAATGGGAACAAAATCTTTATGTCCAAAAGGACATAAGTTGAAACATTTTAGACAAAAATGAAGTGCATGCCAGATTAGTAAGTGCTCAGCTTTTCAAAGTTCATTCGGCTTGGAATAACTCCATATCTATATACCAGAATCTGGTGTACCATTTGGTGAACTAATGTTCAGTTCAATAAACTGTTAAAACAGACAACCGGATGACCAGCGGTTTAGATACGTTACAATCGACATAGCATAAATGGCTGATATAGCCTTCGCGGATCGAGTGAAACGAACGGCTCTCGTTTTAACAGATTCAAGTTGAACACATTACATTTCGCGCATCAGTCATTTTCGTACTCATATTACAAGCAGATGATTTCACGGTCAGTATGCGTACTGCTGATTAACCCGAAAAATTGTCACACCTATACGTCGCTGATCAGCTTCTCCGTATGAGTGAACTTATGCTGCTTGTTGTATTGAGCGGTGCAGTATCATATTTATTCTGTACTTTCCAACTTTTCTACTTTTGGGCAAGCCATGATGAACCACACAAAACAAGGCCATTTGTGCTAAACGTTCCATCCAGGGCTGTGTTTCTTCCTTCCATGTAAAACAGGCAGCACCGGAAGTCATGTTTACCAGGGGCAGTTTTGTTGTGTGAAATTTCATCCGGACTCCGGCCAGAATAAAGGAATCATGGCCTTTGCAGATACACACCCACATACTGACAATCGATGATTTCCAAATCACTCTTTTAAAATGAATTTGTCAAGGTCACCAGGAATAGTAATCCTGTTATTTTTCACTGGGTACTAACGCTTGAGATATTTGGCAATCATCCTCATTGTTTAGAAATTTACATGGCAGCCATCAAAATGCAAGATTTGACAAAACAATCAGCAACGCTGTTGTCCACCAGCTTAAACATATCCAGCACCGACGGGTTTGACCATAAAAGTGCCGAAAACCTTTGCCAAGTAACAATGTCAATTGCGAAAAGGGATGGTGTATTTTCGGATCTATTTCACTCTGTTTGGTGATCAAGGGTGATTAGGAAATGGAGCCTACTATTTCAAACCTGCGGGGGAAGGCTGCTCTTGTTGAACTGTTAGGTGTCATTGTGAGTAGTAAAAAACACTGCCTTATTTCTTCTAGCAAAGATTTTGCACTACCAAATATAGGAGCATTCTTTGCCACATAACTGCCCCACGAATATTGCCGTTATGTTTTAAATTAAACTCCAAACAATGAGGGCATTTAGGGAAACATGAATATGGCACAGATATGTTTATGCCGAAGGACTAAAGTGAATCCCGGTTGAACGTCTCATTTATAGTGTTTTCCAAATGGATGTTCTGAACAAACGCTGCCCCGTGTTTCAGCTAGTGCGATATTGCAGTATATTTTTTTTCGGCAGAACACTACACATGATGTTATTGTTGAAGCTTTTTTTTATCATGATTGTGTATGACGTCCATTTAGAGAAATATGGCGGCAAGATATACGACAGGCAGCTAGCAACTGCGTCAAATATCGGGAGAATGGTGATCCAAAGTAGTAGGTAGTGATTGAAAAGCAAGGCGATTATGATTGCAACGAACTGAGAAGATTTTGTACAGGTGAGGACAGATCACAAGTAAAGTGACACCCACATTGTACTTCTCTACTTACGCTCAATCAAAATCAATTGAATAACTTTTTTTTAGGTTTTTGTTTGGTGCCGTCGTTCAGAGGCCGATATACATTTTCATAACCTTGAATCGAAACAGGTGGTTGACTCGTAAACAGGATCGTTCACACTGTTGTTTTAACTTCGCAGACAGTTGTCACTCTAGTGTGCCAATGCACTTGGGAATCGGTACCTGGATTCGCGGAGTTTTATGGATCTTGGTAAACCCGAACTTTCCTAGTGGTTGTCAAACTTTGACCATTTGTCACTTAGCAGGTATTATTATTATACTAGTGAAAAATCTGGCTGATGGATACTGTAGGCGTACTAACAGTATTTAACTACGATATACAAATACGATTATCATAAAAAAAGAGTTTATCACAAAGGTCATCAGGGACATCACAAATGTATCACTGACATAGGCGTACGGCGAGTACTAGCCTCATCAGTGATCAAAATGTTCTCCGTTAGGTTGCCGGATTAACTAATCATGGTTCTTGCATTTCCTGTTTTACGTCACAGTCATTAAAGTATAGTACTTATGATTTTTGCAGCTGTGGTTGATTACCTGGAAACCTCAAATCGTAAACTGTTGCCCATAGATTGAAATTGTCTGAACATTTATTCATATAACAAGAAAGTTCCCAAGACATTGGTATAGTCTTGACCGGCAAGCCACAGAAATCAAACTTTCCGTCCTTGAAGTGTGTGTCATTGAAATAGGCCAATCCATATATGGAGGCCATCAATAGTGACTTAACCGCCACCAGAGTAAGTAATGTTTCGGTTAATCTTTTTTTACCTGACTCAAGTTTATTTTAGTTGAGATTTTCTATTCCGAACTTTGAATCTATCCTTTTTTTCACAAATAGGTCACAGTCGAATGCACCGATGCCGAGGGTGTAAATTCATTGGCTCGAAACGCAAGCTTACACATCACGGTAACTGATGAAAATGATCATAATCCGGTCTTTGATAAATTAACGTACCATGGCCGCGTTCAGGAGAACTCTCCAGCCGCGGAAGTTCAGTTCGTTAGCCCAATCAAAGTAACTGATGCCGATATCGGACCCAATTCTCTTCTCACGTTCCTCATTAGCGATTTGGACAACACTACTGAACAAGCCGCAGACGTCAGCAAGCAAGCTGTCTGGAGAAATGGAAGTCAATATTTTCGCATTGATCCGCGATCAGGTCGCATATGGACAACGGTTGCCCTGGATTGTGAAGTTAAGAGCCAGTATGATTTGCTGGTTGTTGTACATGACTCCGGGTCACCGGAATCGAGGTCAAGCACTGCGAATTTGATTGTGTCTGTAGAGGATGTGAATGACAATATACCGGAATTCTCTTCGGCGCATTACACTTTTGAGGTGGGTGCTATTCGTTTGATATTCTCTTGCTCCCACTTACGCGATCAAGTGACGATTTGAGCTGAGGACTAATATACATACAGAAAATTTCAGGTTAAGCTATTAGTAATTAGCAGACAAGATGGATGCTTTATAAGTGAAAGTATATCTGCCTATGCCTTGATATTTCCGCTAGTGGGGCAGTATGTTTGCAGCACGTGTAACCGGTTGATTTGAATTTCGTGAGTAAATGTGAGTTGTGCTGTGTCTAGTCGGAGTAGAAGCCAATCAAACTGTTAATCGGCCGCCCACGGCCAAACAGGTAAGCGTTCGAACTACTAGCCGAGAAGTAATGGATTCCAAACTTCTTCCAATTCTGTGAAATGCAGACCACTAGTTATTCTTAATAAGGAAGAAGCAGCTACATGTAGCTTCTAAGTTTCTCAGCAAGGTTGGTTTCACCTACAAAAGGTAATCTCTGTTACGAACTCTCATGTTTGGATTGTTTTCATTCCTGTACGCATTTTCAGAAGTATCGCGAACTAAATAAAATAGCTATGCGACTCCTCATTGCCTCCTCTAATCCTCGATGGATAACCTGATCCAAGGTAGTTTTTGAAATACAACATTGACTAGGTACATCCCAAAGCATCAAGTTTTTATCCGAAGCATTAGGCTTCCATCTGATTCATCGAACCGGCTTCTGGAGATGCCAAGATGACTTCCTGGTGGCACGCGAGAGTGGTAGTTAATCAGAGTCAATTTAATACGATCTCAGACAGCCTGAGTTCTGCAAACTTCTTATTTGAATATGCAACCCGGAGCAAATGCTAAGATTACCGAAGTTTTCTTTATAGAATATTTAGGTAGATGGCAGTTTCCGTACTTCATTTCCCAAAAAGTACTCGTACACACGTTCCGCCTCAGTTTGCACGTCCACATATCCGACGCATCCTAATTTCACGATGTGTTTAGGCCTAATTCAAAAATTGCCACTTTTATCCTTTGAGACAAACAGGAGGCTGGGTGAAGAGTGCCCTGTCATACTATGAATGTATCCTGATCTCTTCCTCAGCTGCTTTCTGAATTGACCGCTTAGTTTGATTCTACAGGCGGTACTGACGTTGTTCAAACATCTCACTAGATAATATGCTGACAATTCCACGTTTACCAGGTCAATAAAAATGTAATGTCACTCGAGAAAAACGAGCAAATCCACTTCGGAATGAAGTGTACACGCTACAGTAAACACAAGACTGGAACTTCAGTGTACAGGATATTTGACACAGTGAATTCAGTAGCTCTGCAAAGGCTGATAGGCATTTTGCTAGCACTTAATTAATTCGCCATATGAATCCTCTACATATTTTCCTATCTTAGGTCGCTGAAAACGCCCCACCTGGAACAGAAATAGGACGTGTAGAAGCTACGGACAAGGATGCAACTGAGCCGAACCGAAAGTTGCGTTATGGTCTCCGTGGTCGTGCAGACGATCTGCACTTGATCAGTATCAACCGGAACACCGGTGTCTTACGAACTCGCCGTCCTATCGATCGTGAATCGCGCTCTTCGATAACTCTTACAGCAACCGCGGAAAATGAACTGCCTGTCCGGGCATCTTTGTCGCTCTCTCCAAATCGACCATTGGCACCATCGGAGTTAGCAGTAGAAACCATAGCCAAAACAAGTATTGTTCTGAATGTACTTAATGTGAACGATAATCGACCGGAATTCACACTAATTGAACCACACCGCTCTCATGTCACATTCATCTGGGAACAACTTAGTTCTTTGCCAAACACATCAAATGTTGATGTTAAATCACTGAAAAACGGTCGGCAAACAAGTCTCGGTGCGAAGAAAAATGGTATGGGCACCCAGAAGGGAGCAGAAGATAAGTTATTTGTGAATGCTTTAAACGTAAGTCCTGTATGTGAACGTCTGCCGCATCGTGTGACTGATAAGGATGTTGAACAAGATGAAAATTCTGAATGCTGTCTACTTCAACTGCAAGAGGACTTTGATGGATTATTCGCTTTGATGCCTGAAGCACCGACTGTGCTGTGCATGACACGAAGACCTCCAATGCCAACAAGTTATAAACTTGTACTCATTGCGAAGGATGGTACAGCAAATGATAGCCTCTCTGCTCAGGTAAGACAGGTGACTTTTTCCTAACCACTGTTTTTAAGTCTTTCTAAATGTACGGAAAGTTTCGGCTTCGCCTTTGTAAATTTAGCTCGGTTTGATAGGCATTGTAAACGTATTCAGTGGACGATTGTATTTTCTTTGTCCCTTGCGAATGAAGGAATTTCTCTGCTGTAAACCAAAGGCTTGACGCAGCCCACATTGACAAAACATACCACAGTCTGCTGTGTTGTCTACCCAGAAGAATTTGAAATGTCCATCGGTTTGATTTGGATTTCAAAATTGCTCGTCAGGTTCCACTACATTATGTAGTTCTAAGAAGAATACACCTGAGATAGGATCTTTTAGTCTAAAAGACAGCGGAAACGAATATCATAAAAATTTAGATAATACTTGCATAAATACATTTCGGCATCGTGTGCAGCTAAAAGAAGAGAAAACAACTTTGTCTCGAATAGTCGAGCCGTTTATGGCGATCATACTAATCCACATTTTGGAGCTTGACCACCGAATTTCAAAGTACCTAAGAACTACAATGACTCATCGCGTGGTGCATACCTGTCGGAAAACCGTAACCCGTCCTGTCGTTGGGTTGTTTCGCTTGTATAGAGCCCCGTGCATGCACAGAGACAGACAGGTTACAGTAACTGGGCGATCTTAATAGAACAGTAAGAATAGATTACACGGTGCTTACAGGCATACGTCTACCTCAGCACAGGTGAACCTGAAGTAGGCCGAATAGAACTGTCGACTGTTTACATTGTAGACATAGCATGTACATTTAGAAGACTAGTATTTGTGTTGACATGCAGTTCAGCGAAACTACCCTGCCAAGTCTGGTTATCATTGATATCATTTTAGTTTCAGACCCACACCAAACCGACATGAGCAATATAAATCTGATTTTGTGAATAAGTGTCTTATTGAGCGCAGAGAGTTTTGGCTGTTAAAAGATGGTCTGAGGTTTATGATTCGATCGAAGTACAAGTGAAGCACGGTACGCCCACTTTACCAGCCACACCTCGTCCCCAGAATTACCGACGAACAGTGAGTTAAAATTGGCTTGCTCTTAAAGAAATTCTTGTCAAATAACGGAATCTCAAGTCTTCTTCTAGCTTGCTACATAGTCGCATGTTTTTCGTCAAGATTCACATTTTACTGTCGAGACACATCAAACAAAACGAAGCAGGTGGGCACGTGGTCCCAACTCGATGAAGCTAATCAAGAACAGGGACGAAATTACTGCCGACCCTAACAGCAGTAAACATTTTCAGGCCAGGACGTGTGTCGGTGAGTTGAAGCTCAAATAATACTGTTCTCAAATATGGATGCAGTAAGTCACTCCGAGAGAAGTTCCGTATAAATTCGGATGACTCCATGACAAGTGCACAAAAGCGTAGGTTATTCCGCTGTTGTGGTTCTGGAGATAGTTTAACCCGTTGTCCCCCTATGTCTTTAAATATGACGTGTTCCAGGAAAGATAAATGTTTTGACCTCGAGCACTGAAAACGTAGAAGACAAGGGGAAATGTATTAAATAAGATGCAGCATTGCAAAGGAAGTTCATTTTGGGCAGTTGGTCATAACACAGTGTAACATGCAAAGCAAATAGCAACATCTTGTGCCGAAAACTTCATTCTATATTCTGGATTACATCATTTTCGTGCCTGTCATGTAAAGTACGATTCACTAACTGGCTGATCAGGCATGCAAAAATAGTTGTTATTTAGTGTGCATCGTCTTCCACCATCGTCTTTTGGGATGCTGTTTGTTTCATGTAGACGCACCTTAAATGAAATTAACAAGCATCTTTTTGCGAGCAGGTGTCTTTTCTGCCGTTCCCCTTCGCGACTGTTGACGAATTCCCTCGTAAAATCAAAGTATGTTGGCAAAAGACGATCGTCATCGCAGATATATTGCTTAAATGACCACTGTTAGCCAGTTTAGACTTCAAGAGCTACAATAAAATTGTTTATCACTGCAGTGCAAAGGATGAATGTGGGACACATGTGCGGGTAAATTTCTGTACACCGGAAAACGTTTTTTGAGCATGCTCCATGGAGTTCTTTCTATAAGGTTATCTTACTATCAAAGACGGAAAAAGAAGTTCGGCTTAGTTACAAATTTTAAATGAGTTATCCCAAAGACCAGCGGAGTGCGCTTTAATTCAGCATTGACAAAACGTCTCTGAATCATGAACAACAGAAAAAGGTGACAAACTACCCATTCAGCAATTCGGCTGCTTGTTAGTGGTATGAGATAAGTTAGAAATTTCGATCCACATTTCGTCCTGGACACAGACAATACTTTTTTTCAACAGCAAAACTTATAGCTTGTTTTGTCCAGAACTCAAAATGCAGCACTCGTCATACTGCAAGAAGTCTTGTGAATATTTGTTTACAACAAGCAAGGAAGGTGAATCTCTTTAATTACAGTGCTTCGCAAGCAAACAACGGAAGTATCATCACGTTCGTTGAGCGTGTGTGTAAACAGGCCTTACATTAGTGCGATAATTTATTTGTCAAGTGTCTCGATTATTTGTGTTTGCTTTTCATGCCAGCTGAGTCAATAGTGGACAGTCAACTGTCCACTATGACAAGTTATTTTTGAAACGCAAAATTGTTGCAGCTGCACGAAAACAATCGAAGTGACGAACGGGAAGTGGACCGTATTTGATGCTTATGTAACGGCGGTGCGACTGAATTTATGGTGTGACAGGAAAATCATGAACTTTATTCTGTATAAGTTGTGTTTTGACAACCATAGAAGTATAGCTCCCGTTTTATGTAAAATTTTCCATGGCATACGCTTCAAATGCACGTATCTTGAATCAAGCTGCCTTGGTAATCTTTTTGAATAATTTTGTTTGGGCTATTGCTCAAACGGCTTTATTCGTCCACCTACCGAGGATGTCTATCCAGAATGCTGTACTTCTGCTCCCCATTCCATTCTGCTTATCAAAAAGTGGCATTTTTGGACATGACGTCTTCAGAAGTACGTGAGAATTGGGAGCAGCGTAAATAAGCAAAAGAACTTTTTGAATAATCATCGAGTTAGAATGGCAGCGCTAAATGACCGTATGGTGAAGGGGTCCTTACACAATAGACTGTTGCCTAGTTCCGAAAAGGAAGTTGTTGAAAACTACAAAGATATGGGAAGTTCATCACCACTTCTTCATAGAAAACCCGTTACGTATACATATGACAAAACTTACGACTTGAGACAAATTACTGGACCAACTGATAGTGGCCCCTTCTTATGGAATTTTCATCAAGTGCGTTATTTCACTTTTCTTGATTTCTTCTTGTATTCCAATATTGACGAACTAAATACCTAACGTGTCAAGTAAATTTGTTTAGTAACCGCAAACTTTTATGTCCGCCACTAGCATGCTTCCTAGTTTTTATCTTTTTTGCTGGTTCCTTCAGTTACCACTTGATGTAGTTGTCAACGCCCCATTTCAAATTTTGCTTGATTCAAATGTATTCGGTTCATTGGTTCAACGAACACGCATTGTTGTTTTAACTGGAAATTCACGACAAACTGGACTCCCACTGCCCAATAATTGACCACCGAATATTTGTTCAAAGTGACATGAACAAAAATAACATTCTTATGAATTCCGCGTCTAACTTTTCTGGGTGTATACCGATGGCCACAAAACAGAAGAACAACAGAATGTTTCGTCATGTTTTTCACTTGAGTGCTCAGTGTCTGATCACTACAATCGATCAATTCACTCCAGGCTGTTTTGTGTTAAATGTGGCCGCATATTTATGCAAGATGTAGACACTGGTCTCGCACACACCATAACATAAACGGCAATGGGATATATTCAATTAAAATACCCCGGGGAAAGGCAGGGTTTCGAATTGTTGAGGGTCTCCCGCAGGCATACCTGCGATGGAATACTGACGAATTTTGCGGGTTATAGTATCAACTTTCAAGATGCCGTAAAATAGAGAAACCAACTCTCTTTCTTGAGAAGTGGTTTTCCTAAGGAATCAGCATAAGAGGATTCGTTAGCTCATTTAATCAAACAAAATATTTACTGATCCTTGTTCGGATGAATAATGAAATACGTATGGTATCAATCCTAATGCTACTCATCTTGCTGTAAAGGTTATATTTAACAGTTCTGCGGTGAACGAGTCAGGTGCCCCGAGATATAACAAGTTGTACCACAGAAGAAACCAAAGCATTTAAATGATCAGATGAAATGTTGTGATCTCACTCACGGCTGCATATGAGTTATCCTGATTTGGCCCAAGTATCCTGGTCCATCCTTTCACACCGCACTTCAAGCGTAAACACCATTGCCCCCAATGACATGATAATTCAAGTGCATCTAATATGCTCTAGTGGAGTAGCCGTGACACACAGATCTCTCATATCAGATATCCTCAGTACCATTCCCTTAGTGGTCAAATATATGCACTACTGATGAGCTTCAATGACGGCGGAAATCGAGTTCAGTGATTTTGCACTTTTGAGTTGGTGAAGCAAAATATTGCGTTTGCACCAAAAGACTATGGTCTACCAAAAGTGCTGGGATTTCAGCAGTTCCTTACTAAGCGCTTTGCTTGTTGAGACAATTAGTGAAATTTCGATCCAAACGATATCTCTCCAAAAATGAAAAGCTGTTTGTTGACAATAATCACGAAATTACATCACTAACGTTTACGTTATTTATTCAGCAAGTCAGTTTAGTTGCGAGTCACCCAGAACCAACTGAGGTGAAATTGTTATCACTCCATCAAAAAGAGAAGCTCAGCGTTTTGTCGAAAATAGCTACCTGGCTCATCGAATGATCCAGGTACTATCTAAGCTACCCGAACTAAAAAGGTTTCTCAGTAGGACCAGGCTTCTGACTTTGTCATTTAACTTGTTGATGTGACCTCATCTAGATAAGAAACACATGGGTAAGATAACGAGGCAGTGAAGAAAATTCGGCTAAACGGCCCCCACAAAAAAACAAAGTATGAGTAAATTTACTGGAGCATATGAAAAAATGTAGAGTTATGGGAATTAACGTTCTGGATGCATGCGCATGCTGGAAAGTAAAATACGGCGGGTATATATTTTTTTCACGCAAAATTATTAGTTTCGGTGATGGGTTTTCCAGAGGTGCCCATTTTCCGCAGGCGAAACGTTGCCGTATTACACAGTCTCACATAAGATGAAGGAAAAATGTGGTCTGTAAATTTGTAAAGCTGTCAGCAGGTTAACTGAAAATACAGCTGTCAAATAGTCTTCAGCAACCTTTTGATCAGTTTCCCTTATTAAATATTTCCTGCTGCAAATTAGGTTAGAGGAGGCAATTCTGCAAGCGTACGACGTAAAAAGCGTTGTTTTTCACACTTTCTAGGTATTCATATTGGCAACTGGCAAACGGGCACTTTGGTGCTTATTTAACCTGATGCTTCTGATAGTTCAAGGATGATTTAAAACAATGAAGGAGAAATGCTTCCTCCAGAAGTTTTTCTACTTTATCAACAGTATATAAATCAAAAGCGCCACAAAGACGCATTACTATGGCGAACGAATATACGTTCATATCTCTGTATCAGTTTCATATCAGCTTTGTGTTTGTGTATTATTTGGGGATAAGTGACCGGGAGCCTCAGACGTACTGCTCTGCAGAGTTTTTTGCAAGAGATGGAGGCAAAAGCAACCTGTTCTTGTTCGCCTAATTGTGCTTTGCTTTATCGAGTAGAAAACATTGCATTCCATTGGATTTTTTATTTGATACCCTAAGAATAGGTGTTGGTACATACGGGTAGGGAATTTTGAATGAATGGAGTTTTGTCTGAGGTCAGCACTATGATTTAGTATAGTCTCAGTGTTGCTCACTCTGCTCTTGTTATTTCTATTTCGTATGAAGCATGCAACCACTAGTTTGTTCCGCTTTGTTCTTTGTTGATTCTATCTATGTCGGGTCAGACAGTCAAAGTGGGGCTTTCTCCTTCGCACAACTTACTGCTGGATTCAGAAGACCGCACGTGACATCCAAGTCATGTTCTGCAGACTGCTGATGGTTTACGCACATGTTTGAAATAGCCCCTCTATGGGTTAGCAGGATGTAGGTTGGCATGCAGCCTGAAGGGGCTCTTGTGGATTTCAGCGTAGCTCCTATAAACTGCCTAATGAGTAGCCTGATAACAATAGAATGCGTGCGTGTCAATTAGCTTCCAAAACCAACTGTGGAATTTACTGTTATGAGCGTACAGCTTTTTCGTTCCCTATGGGACTCAGCAACACTTCCCCGGGGCTAGTCAGATCAAATTCAAATGTAGGCTGATAAATTTGCAGGAATGAACTTGTTTAAGCTGTTCTTGTTCTCGAATACACGGAATGTGTTCATTTGAGAAGGCGTATCACTGGTCCATCGGTCTAAATGCAGTTGACGAGTCAACAGTTGGATCCTGCTAAGGAAGGTCAAGCGCCTTTAAACAAACGGGAGCGCTTATGAGTGTCAGTGCAGGTAATCGAAAGAAACATTCAGACACCCACTAGGACGTCTAGTTAACACCTTTGTGTTTTTTACTTACAGGAATCCCTCTGAATCGCAACTATTAAGTTTCACTTTCTTCCTTGCTTTCCATTCCTTTCTTTTCCTCCGTGTTTCATTTCAAAATTGCCATACAATGCACCTGAGTAATATCCGTGCTTCGTGTTAGGCTTGCGCTGAAGGGCTGTGATTATTGTCAGCCAATTAATTTGTCCTGATGGGATAAATAGTTGTTATTGCGGGAAGTAAAAGCGGGTAACTTAGAACTCCACTTAAAGTTCGTCAGAAGGTATGACACTGGATACAGAAAATTCCATCGCCGTTGTCTACTAGGTGCCAAACGCCCAGAATATGGTGGTTTAAAATTTTAGTCGCTGATTGATGAATGTTCGAGTCGGAACGGAAGACTCCCTAATGTGATATACACAACCAAACTTAGTAAAAGCCCTAAATGGCAGTTTATACGATTTACACTATTACAAAACTACTTTTCTCAATCAATTAGGTGCAGTTCACCGTGGTTATTCGTAGCGACCCTAGTTTGAAGGGTGTCGAAACCAGTGTAAAACACGGCGGTTTGTCACAGCTCACGGAAAAGGAAAGGAACGGCTTCAGCAACACTGACAACTCTTACCGATTGGATGACCTATCAACATCTTCCTCATGGCCGTATACATCCAACTCCAAGGATCTCAGATCTAGTGGACGGTCTGGTCAAATGCAACAACGGAATATGCTTCCAAACGGGCACAAAGGAGGCACTCTTTCAGCTGGACATACACAACAAACTATCATAATAGCTGTGATGGCATCAGTCGCCGGTATTCTCTGTGTGCTGCTTTTGCTGGCAATTGTATTGACAAGGCGATGTTTCCTTAACTCGAGGAGTAAGTCTTCACAAATGTGATTTCATTTCAGTAAGCCACACTTCGTTGGTGTAGAGGTTTGTGCTATTCTTCTAACCGACAAAAACCGACAATCTTTTGTAAAATGGACTCTAGAGCTAGGAAAATTTTAGAAGTAACACAATAGTTTTTGATACATCTGAGGACTAAAAATATGGTTACAAAGCGGCAAACGTGGTTCATTATCTATAGAGGAAAATGTCGGTAGCTCAGGTAGCGTAGATGGTCGTTGGCTTGTTCGCTGAGCTGGGCAATTTGGTTGCAAACGTTTCATCACCAATCGAGGTGACATCACCAGTGCGTAGTTGTGCGTAGCGCTGGGTTAGTGGTCGGTTAGCTAACCACGTTTGCAACCAAATTGCCCAGCTCAGCGAACAAGCCAACGACCATGGTTCGTTATGTAAGTAACCAAATAACACGATTCGCGACTATGAGACTGGTAGTATGACAATATTGCAAATTGTCCCAGATGGTTGTTCGTCGGTGAACTGGGTAATCCATCTGATAACGTTTCGTCATTACTCGAGGTGACCTCATCAATGCGTAGTAAGTTAGTGACGAATAGTAGTGCGTTGGTATGTAGGCTACACAAAGATAACTGGTGCACTGACCGTGTCCCCTCGATTTGGGGTGGGGTACTTACAACCAAATTGTTGCTCATTTTAGAAACATTAACAGCCATCCATTCAACATGAACTACAGGAATTACCCTCAGAAGCGAAGACAGCGTCAGGCGTTTTGGCGTATGTTTACGCTACAAGCGCACCAATTAAAATGGCCATCAAAAATATCTGTGCACAAATTCATGAAATCCAGGCTCATGCCCAAAAGCCTTTTACAGAACTTATCACTCATGTGACCTGTAAATCGCTTCATTTCTTCAGATAAAGCTCAAAATCCGTAAAGCTTTGAATAGTTTCATCAATGTTAACCATTCCACATATGTTTGCGAATGTTTTATTCTATAACTGAATAAGCAGGTTCAACCGACGTTCCTATGTAAACATTTACAGCTGTAGCGGTTCGCAGATTTGGGTATTATAAGCAGCGAACGACTCACTGTACAGAGTGGATGCTAGTTATCAGCTTACCAAGTTAACCTTCTAGGGAGGCTTACTTGATGGAGCCGATTTCGCCACCTGCATGCCACATACTTCTGTAGCAGCACAGCGCAGAAACAAAGTAACCTATTTTGATATCCTCTTCAAAGGTACTGTACTTTTCTGCTGTCTACAACAGTTCTCAATATTTCATTTCATTTGCCTAAACCATCCACACCATGCCAGCTGATTTCATCAAAGTGGAAGCGGATTCGCCACACGAAGGGTTGGTTGGTGCCAAAAGTCCCGGCTCAGTTCCTTCCACTCCGTCGAAGTCTCAGGTAAATGCAATGCAATATGGGATGTTTGTTTTTGAGCCTTCTTCACTAGTGCTCCCATTTTTTTGAAAAATGAGAAGTTTGCTACGAGAGAACCCGCGGTGCAAAAGTTGTGCAAATGTGATAGAAGGTAGAACCGGCTTTGTGTCCACTGCATTCCTACGACATAAATCTAGTATTCTCTCCATTTTACTTTAATCGGCAGAAACAAAAGTCTTAAATGCTGTGGACAACGAAAGGTTTTTCTGCTCCACTTATGCTCCAATTTTAATGCAACAGAAGGGTAGACGTTTGCAACAAATAGTAGGATGGCGCTTTCCTTACTTCAGCTATGGTCGTTGTCTGAAAATAAGAAGAAAGACAGATTATTCCGAGTAGGGTTCTTGCCTGTAGCACAATTTACCTAGCCCAGTCGGCAATCATAAGAAAGTCACTGTAAGGGTCTTGTGCTCAGTCGTTCGCGATATACACCTAAGTTGCATCGAGGTCTGACTTGGTAAACGTAGACGATTCCAGCACACTTGAGATATAAAGCGATGTGTCTGCCATTTGATTAGCGGACTTTTGAATTTTCGTAAAACGTTTTATAGTTCAACGTGACTGCGTTATATTTCATCGTGAAATACAAACAAGAAACAGCTTCGGAGAATTACCAAAGGATTGCCAAAATTAGCAGACTTTTGCCAGAACAAGTGATTTTAATACGATATACTCGGAATAGAAGCCGAATGGTTTTTACAATCCTGCTATTCTTCCGGTCCACTAGCCAAATTATCAACAATGTTACTCACTAATTGTATCCTTCGGATAACTCAGGTTTGTATTTTTCATAAGAGCATAACTAGGAATGCCGTAATGTCCTTTCCAGAAAAAANTGCCGTAATGCCTTTCCAGAAAAAAACCCAATTGTAGTGAGTCAAGCAATTTGAAATCAGTACAATATTCCCTTTGAACATTTGGAATAGGGGGTCCACAAAAATGAGGAAAAAAATAGTCGGGCAGGCTGTTCGGGCCAAAATATTGCAACTCGGCATAAAGTACGATCAACACCGTTATCCCTGCACTTGTCCGGCCAGTTCCTGTAGGGTTTGTATGCAACACAAACAGCTCAATCTAGATGTCACTTATTAACGGTGTGCAAAAGGGAAACGCAAAGAAATATCTCACAAATTCGGGCAAAGGTAATTGATGTACACGGGAAAAGGTGATTTATGATAGTGTTATAAATGTGTACGGTTGAGCACATACGTGATATTTTGATAGAATGCACATAATTTACCCGTATGTTGTGAACGTAATACAACGCATTTGTTTGCTGGATGAATAATTACCCTCGAGGGCAATTTGTAGTTGGCACTTTAAGGAATGTTATTCACTCATACGCTTCCTAATCAGTGTGACACTTGATGGTCAGCGTAGCGTATCGTGGTTGAACTACGATAGTAAATGGTCTCTCAGCGAGGCGCAGGGTTATGGAATACGGACAGAGATAAACGGCAAAGCTCTGCATGTTATGCAGTGCGAACTCATTTGGAGTATGTAGCCTACAATTCAAGCGTGGCTACTTCAATGCCAGACATATACATTTGGTTTTCTATTTTCTGTTACTTTAAACGCAGTTCATTTAGACGAAGTCATAACACGCCAGTTAAGATCAAACAGCTATTTAATTGTTCCCAGTTCACGTACATTTGGAACACATCGAAGGCTGGCGTATGTTTTAGGTATTTAATCGGGAGACACGTTTGGTAAACATGGTTCTATTCACACCGCGTGCACTACTAAACGTCGACTGGTTAAGTTCAAGTAGTCTGCATCGAATACGCAAGACAGAGCAAGGTAACCGCCCATTGGATTTAGCATTTCCAATGTAGGTGTTTTCTGTGATTTTCAAGCGAGGAACGACATTAATTATGCGTGATTTCCGGTAGAAGGATTGTACAGGTAGGCCTGTGCACAAACACTGACATTCAACATTCCAGGGTGCCTCAAAAATTACTGAGCTTATCGTTTAATTCTTGTTTGGCTAGCAGTCAGAGTTATCAAAATTAAATACAACAGTTTTGCTAATTCCCAGATTCTCAAGCTCAAACAACTACAGGTGACCATGCTGGTAAACCCAATAAGATTATTCTGCAAAAAGCGGCAAATTTAGAAGCCACTACTAGGCGTTGGCTTTAAATGTATGGTCCAATGTATGACGCACCCGAATGACAGATCAGAATGACCCAGAAAATATACCCAATCAATTTACCGATGCATATTTTTACACGGAGAACTGCAGTGGACTTTTCCGGATGTCTGCTCGGCCAGAGCAGTCTGTAAATTTCCATAGATGCCTGGTAGCTTTTCCAAAGATCCTGTGTTAAGGAGATCGGTGTAGATATAATTGGGGCATTTAATTGCCCAGAGATTTATTTGCCCAGAATTTCCTCGATTCGCTTTTTTGTTTTGACCAAAATAGCCTTCACTTCTGTTCGGCAAAGTGCAGGCTTCCTACAAAGTTGGATAGATAACTCTCTTTTAAAACGGTTCCACCCTGCCAGGCTCGACAAACGTTTTGAACATCAATGCATGCTGGTTTGACGGTTAGACGTTCCCTGAGAGCTGGTCACGAAATACACCGCATGATTGGCGGAGGCCGTTACGAAGAGTCGGTAATTTGTCTCTTCATCGGTGACTACTAAAGTGGAATTCACATTGACAGCCGATAGTGCGCTCTGAAGTGTATGTGAGTGAGTCAGTGTATACTACCATACTCAGCTGAATACAGACAATATAGGAGCAGATTTAAGATGAGGAACGCGATAGCGAGGTCAGCGCAGACCTTCCATGATCCCTGCCCACAAAACCAATTTTATATTACTCGGATTTTCTAAATTCTTATGGAATCGCGAAATTCGGTTTAAATAATAAGGATGCTGTGACTGGAAGTTTACTGGTAGGTAGATACCTCAAATCACTCTTCACAGTCCGCTGAGCCAGAGGGAAATCATAGGCAAACACTCGTCAGCCAGTCAAGATGGTGGCAACGTGAAACTCAAATGCAGTTCTTGCTAATGAATATTATTCAACGAATTTTTTGCCAAGGACCTCCGTCTTTGAGAGACAAATTGTTTCCACTGAAAAACTGAGCGATACTCAAATGATCCCTTTTTGCAGAGATCATTCATCCGTTCAAAAAATATAATTCTGCCAACAAAATATTGTGTTTAGGTTATCAGTGGCACAATCTGATAAACCAAGCTGTCAGTTGATTGTTATTCCATGAGTGTCAACAAGGTGTCTCGTGTCTTTGTATGTTCATTGCATGTTCATTATGCGTGGGTTCTGTAGAACTGCATTTTCAGAGTTGAAGATGGATAAACTTGTCATCCATTTCCAGTATCTTTCAACGTCCCACCTACAGGACATTGTTGTACCGGCTTATCTGACACGTACTAGCTTGTCTGAAGGCCTTGGAGCATGCCACCGGACTATGCCATTACATCTTCCCCTTTTGTGACAGATACACCATCGGCAACTATGCACGACTTTTCACCATAAATTCCCTTAGGACGTATCAATTGGAAACGGACTGAGTTGTTATTTGCGCAGGATTTGGAAGTACAACTTTATAGGACGTGGCGAGAAAAATTTGTGTGTGGGCATTTAGTTCAGCTTAGCACAGTCATTTGTCTGTAAACCGAGGTGCAACCTGAAAGACTGAGTTCGGCAAATTACAACCCGCGTAAAGATTTGCGAACGAATGGCTCGTACGTCTGTTTTATGTCCACTGGAATTTCGCTCTCGTCATAAGCAATCAGTGTTTGTCAATAAGTGTTTCGACAATGACTGTCTCCTACAAGCAGGTCAGCTGACTCAATAAATGGGGTGATCCGGAAGCGAAATAAATCCGCCGAGCGAAGCGCGTTGTGGCTAAGCTTGTTCGCCATAGGGATGTTCTGGATGGGAATGTGGTTTCCGAGGTTCTATTTTGTAGGGCCATATGTTGAAAATGGGGATCACGTGGGGCCAACTCAGTTTGGTGGAGTTTTTGCTCTTCAACACCTAACAAAAAGACAGCCGTACAATAGAACGACCATGAATAACGAATTGTTGATAAGTAGTGGAATGTTTTTAGAGGCACCCACGCTATCGCAGTTGCCCGGTTATTTAGCTAAAACCGTAACTTGTGATAGCATGTTTTTGCTTTCAGGTGCATTATTAAAGAAAGTGATAAATTCGCATTCTGTTATTCAACAATTTCTGGTTGGTTCAACATGAATGAAGTGATAGTTTTACCTCACTTGGGAGAAGTTCAAATGACCTTGCAGGGGGTTCGCAAATTTGATGCCAAATTTCATAGATGTTGCAAAATGTCACTGAATTATCGTAGTGACGAAATCACGCGAGATAGATAAGACGTCTGCGTAATTCGTGGGGAAGACCCTGCGTACTGTGCCCACCCTCCAGACAAGGAACACTTCTGGCATTCCCCGGGGGAGGTCCAAATACGGAGGATGACTGTACCATATGAATCAAGCACATACTGCGGTGTTCTTTGCTGAATCACGCTGTCTCTGCTCTACCTTTCAGACATGCACTTTCCTCTCGATTCCTGCGCAACATCTGCCACCACATTCAGATTATTATTCCAAGGAGATGATTTATCACCACACAATGGGGGACTGTAACCAAGCCTATGAAATGGCGACTCGAACAGGTTTTCTATCCCCTACAATCGACCGAAACATCATAAGGCTAGCCAATGTCAGTTCACCTCCTGGTGGCATGAGTGTTTCCAGTTTACTGCCAGTCTCACTTCAGGCGCAGAGACAAGTCAACGCAGTTTCTCCATTGTTACCTGGCTTATTGGACGCAAATGTTTACAAAAATGAGTCGAAAAACAAACAGTCGTCACCAGAGCGTTCCGCTGCAAAGTGTAATGTTTACACAGCCTGGCCTCCACTGCCTCACTCACATGTTGGTGCACGTTCTGCCCTCGTCCACCGTGCCAAACAACTGGCTCCAAACAACGTTGCTAAACAGTTGATCAATAAACCAGGGGATGCGTATGGGTCGAATAATCAAAGTATATATCAAACCATCGATTCACGACTGGTCCACACCGTTCGCGAAGCAAATAAGGTCAAACCCACCCTGTTTCGATCTTCGACCGTCATAAATTCGAGGCAAGACAATGAGTCGGATAAAGCGCTTCTTGAACCTCAAGACCATCCAGCAGATCTGGAGTCACCGGATCAGAAGCAGCTCTCTGCAGCATCTGGTTCTCCCTGTCAGGAGTTCGATGTTCTCCCCGAAAATAAGGGCGAGCTCAAAAAACTGCAACGAACTAATTCAGAACGAAGCACTTATTTCCAAACAAGTTTTGTATGAGCAAGTCCAGTATGACATACGTGTGCTTGCTTCGAACCTTCTTTACAACTCAGATTCTCTCAACTTACGTAACAAGACGTTTAGCCCCTTCAGCCCCGGACCTGTTCTGACTTTATTTCAAGCAAATGTGGCTTAAATGCCAAGCTCTTTATTTGTTCTACTCGCACATGATGAGTGCATACGAAGCTTCCACAGAAAGTAGCGGAAAACATGTAAATATTTTCGAAATGCTCATGTAGCACAAGTTCTCTTGCATTCACGATGCTCCTAGGTTGGCATGACAGCCCCGCTACTGTCAGTTGCATTTTGGTAGTGAGGATCGAGAAGAGAGGCTAACCCGAAAACAATTATTGGTCTGCAGAGCTAGCCGAAAATACGTCGTAACTTTTTAGATAATAATGGGCCGATAATAATCTCATAGCAGTCACTACCGATTCCAAGGTGTTTCAGTTCATTAAAGGAGAAGGTTTTGACAACTTTAGGGTACTCAGATTGAAGTTAGGACTGAAGGCAAGATATACACAATACTTTCGAAGTAATTGTGAATTTAATCGTCCTGGTGTTTTTCCATTGCCCATGGCTTATGGGCAATAACAATGCGCCCTAGAAAAGTTAATTACTTACTTGGCGATTTTATCGGGCATTTGGATAAGCTGACAAACAGAGTAGTCCCAGCGTGCAGCTTCTGGCCCACATCGGAAACCTAGTGGCCACCAAATCAAAACACTCCATAAAGCTGAACTGTATAAAGTTCTTTACTCCTATAATAACATGTAGAACAAACATGCGAGTTTCATTCATTGACTCAACAAATTTTAGTAGTGGTTGCTCTTGGGCGCACAAGTTGTAGTAGTGTAAAAATCGTCACATGAATCAAAGCAGAGCTCAGCAATTAAAGCAAACCATATGAAGAAAATTTGCACCTACTCCAGGGTGCAGTTTGTTAGAAGCATCATTTTGGTTATCCTAAAAGTTCCTACATACTCGTCAAATCACTTTTCTATCTTGAGATTGCCATAATACTATGTTTACTAAAGCTTAGATCTATGACTAAGAGATCGTTTTCACTACCCGAAGAAATCGGCAAGGACAGTGTTATGATTACGACCTTGACACCTTATCTCATAAAACATCTAACTGGAATAAAACGAGTTTATTCTAATTACTTCAACCACTGCGCAGATGAGGTACTACAAATAGCACCGTAAACATCAGAACACACTGCAGACTATTCCATACACGTCCAGAAGGACCTTATTGTGAAGTCTAGTGCCGTAGCATTATAAAGCATATTAACACCCGTACAAAGCTGCGCAAATATTGTTATGCACACATCACAATTTTTTGCCTTTTTTGCTACAGCCATAAGCGATTAGGGAGATGAATGTGCCGTCGGTCTTTGCGCAAACTGTCAATAACTCTTTGGCTTATTGGATTAGTATTATCAGTCATTGACCATATCGCTCAAGCTAGCGTTTTGTGTCTATAGGTTTGCAAATGGATCCTGCATTCTTATTTCCTATGAAGTGTAGAGAGAATTGGATTATCAGGCGCGAGTAGATCAGCTACCTCTGTGACTTATTATTCCTTTCGGTTAATGAGTTCTGCTTCCTCAAACTTTGTTTGCTTGAGAGGTAAGCCTAATCGAGTTTAGATGGTTTGATGAGGAGGTAAGTGTGATACGCAACAAACTATTTCGCGTATCTGAAGTTTTGGCCGAATAAAAAAGCATCGGCTATGATCAGGTGACTAGATCTAACCACCGCAGATTACTTTTGAGATGTTTTTAAGAATATTATTGAACAAAAATTGGCCGCTCACGAGCGGCGCTTTTCTGTTAGCAGGGAAAGATATATGTTTTGTAATGTGGTTCATGCAAGCGAAATCATGTGAAGAAGAACAGATAGAGCATGGGATACGAGACTGATGAAATCTACCGGAAGAGTTAACCAAGCTCACTCCACTTGAAGTCCGTGGTTACGAATTGTCTACACTGGCTTCCAGAGTAAATAATTAGCAATTTCGTTGCAATATCCTGTCTATCTTTCCTAAAATTATCTAATCAGATAAAAGCTAACGACGAGTCGTATATTTTTATTCTTTTTTGTCTATATAAGTAGCTCTCGAGTTTTCTCAACCAGTTTGTTATCCATAACCAACCTTTTTTATACATTCTGGTACAATTCATTTGTTGAACTAATGCAAATTTGGAGTGAACGTACGCCTCGGACTGACGATATTTTTTTAAAATATCTAAGTGCGTGTTCAACTACTCCTCAATGATGCCTGCATTTTGACGTATACAGCTTCGCAAGCTTAGTTTAATCGCGTTTTTCAACGAATTCGGTCATAAAGTTGTCCTGTTACACTCAACGGGAAACCCCCAAATGCTCCACTTATATTATAGCCGTCTGTGCGAACATTTGAACACATCCGAGCCATTTAAAAACAAGAAATTTAATCGCTGCAGCTTGCTTACTCTAAATTTTCCTTTGGATGGCACAATGTCTCAAGTGATTTCAAATTAATCCAAAGAGCTCAATCAAGGGTGATGAAAGTAACTGAACCCGAGAATTTCACCGCCATTGGATTTGTTGTCATGCGTATTCATGAGGATCCGTTGTCTGTTAATGATGCTTTAAGACAACGCGTGGAACCCCGCGGCCGCATGATGCCATCTTAAATCCATGTGGCCAAGACAGCGCGTACACATCAAGGGTGTTTCCTTGGTGAGACCTCGGTTGCTTTTTCGGTGATTTTGCCACTTATCCATATGCCCGAACCAATAGTTGAGGCACAAAATATTTAACATAGGTAGTTTTCGATGACCAAACCAACATATGTTAGTAAGTAAGTTTACTTTGACCCACAGGCGAAACTAGTACACTTACAGGGTGAAATTCGGTGATATATCGGCTTTGTTTGTTGCATGCATCTATACATTTCGTCGTACTTCTTGTAAGGGATGTATTGACAGATAGGCGTTTCTATAGTTTATAGGTTTTCGGTTTTGTAGTGCTTCATAACGTTTAATAAATTTTGACAGCTTTGCACTTCTCCTAATTCAAGTGCCCTTTATCAGAATCAAGGTGTTACACCCAGTCTTCAGTCTCTCGCTTCCACTTTCGTGTGGTTTAGTGGTCAAAAGACGTGCAGAAAGAATTGTTTCACTAAAGGAAGCTACTCACAAGGCTGCTGAAAACTCTTCGGCAACTCACGACCGGTTTAACCCTTCTTGGGGCTCATCAAGTAGGGGCAGTCCCCTAGTTTCCGCCAACCTTTTGTTCTACTTGAACCCGAATCGGACCCTTTTATAGAAAATGCACTCATTTACAAATCAATTTGGTTTTCACGAGAGACTCAACTAAATCAAGTTGATTTGCAAATGAGCTTATATCTCGAGAACTTTGTCACGGTTTGGAAAACCTCACCAACGAAAGACTAAAGATCAGAAACAGTTATACTGCTGTATTCACCTTAAAATGTATTATTTGGTTACCATAAATGCTGTCCCTTCTCGACTAGTTTGGTAACTTTGATCTTCACCTCTCTCATGCAGATTTCACTGGATTGATACAGTCCAATCACTGTGTACAATTCCACCAATATTTTGCACTTTATATGAATCACAAATTCATTGAAAAATTAATCCTAATGGGTGAATATTTGGGAAGGATTTAGTTGGTTCAAAACTTACTCATGCCTCGCATTATCTTCCGTGAAAAACAGTGTGGAAGTCCTCGTAGTTTAAGGCCACCGGTATTTCGTCTGGTTAGTTTACACTGAAAGGACGCTTAACAATATGCGACCTAGTCCCTCTTTAATTTTCCTACTTTTACAAGTGAGATTCATTGTATCCATTGAGTGTTTTCACAGCACGGCCTGATTCACGCTTGATTGCTAAAGGCTAAGTTAGTGATACTTGATTATTTTAGAAGTGATCAGATTGTAATTAAAATACGGATTCTATAAAGGCAGCAATATGTACCATTATAATCCATAACCCGTTGTGGTCATCAGAGAATGAAACACCAAGTGATTATATGGCTGCGATGTAGGTTCCGTACAGCGAGCAGCTAGTATTTCGGTGAATGAATAGCTTGAGACCTAGGTTTCATGATGCGCCAAGCCATTCGAAATTCCGAAAATAATATCGTATGATATGCGTGTGTTGCTGAGTGGTGGACATCGTACTTTCCAATATCACAATCATATTATAGAAGTTAAAATTTTGATTTAGCAGGCAGACAAAACTTTATTAGCTTAAGAATAAATGGAGCAAGATGGCTTAGTGGTTAGGCGGAACTTACTGACCGGGGGGCCTATTGTTTGAACGCGATATCTGCCTCCTGACATTGTCTAGGTGGTGCAACCTGGCAGTATCCCAGCCCTCGCACTTCCTTCTGGTGGCATGGCAGTTAGACACCGAAAATTTGCTACGGCTGAACGTTTTGAGAATAACTGACGTATCCATCTATCTAGACCCAGAAATTTCTCCCCGTCAAATCAATCAACTAGTTAGCCGTGGATTTTTTGTCCAATTTTATAACCTCCGAGTGTGTCACACTGAAACCAGCGTTTGAATGCTTTGTAGATAGATAATTAGGAAACGATAGTCTTAATTTGGAGAATGTGAGTCGTTGATCATTAACAGATTTGGCAAACATGCTACTCTGACGTGCCACGCAGTTTTCACTTCTTTTTTTGTGCTGTATAGCACCCGTGTGAGACATCTGGCTATCGCTGAAAACCCAGAGTTGTCGAATCTGTTTCGGGGTTGTGCAAATCAAGATAGTCGGTCAGCTTTTACAATCTTCCGCTGCCTAGCTGCCATGCCACCCAAAGGAATCACAAGGCCTGAGATACCGCCAGGTTACCTAAACCTAGATAGGGGGAGGTGGAGAGGCGGAAGTCTGGTTCGAACCACGCACGTTCCGGTCAGCAAATTCGCGCTCTAACCACTGAGCCACCTTGCAGTGTTGCGTATGTATAGGCAAGTCTTGTTACACGGTGGGCACACTGTGAAGTTTGACCCACTGATTTTACACTGATGAATGTTATGTAAGAACCGAGTTGCTTCTCCTGCTGGCTATCCTGCGACACTTTCTGGGTGCTGCAGAGTGTCGTTTGCGTTTAGCGATTCGACCTTTCGTTTATCTGTAATTCTGGCCTTTAAGAAGGTTTGAATAGCACCGTTACCACATGATCC